TTAAGAGGCTCTGTCCGGCCATCGCCATTTGAGGTGGTTCCCGGTAGAATTTTTTGATGAAAGTTTTTGAGCATCTTATTCATTAAGTCTAGTTTACTCATACCAAATTTCAGCTAACAATTCAATCGGAAAGACATTCAAATGAATTCTTGAAGATAACTGCGCAATTATCCTCAAGAATTCATTTGAATGCCTTCCCGATTGAAGTTTTAGCTGAAATTTGATATGAGTAAACTAGACTTATTGAATAAGATGGTCAAAAAAATTCATCAACAAACTCCACCGAGAACCACCCCAAATGGCGAAGACCAGACATAGCCTCATAAATAAGGCCTTATTTGACATTTTTTGGTTAATACATGACCTTATTTGCCCCTTTTCCCAAAAAAATAAAATGCATAACCATTTATTGCAATTCACTCAATTTTTCACCGTTCACAACAATTTCCATATGCATATCAATTATCTTTCCACACGCAAAAACGTGTTATTTGTTTTATTCAATATAAATAGTGACTATCAACTTAAGAGAGCCTAATTTCTTTGGTTATATGGCCATTTCACCCTTTTTATGATCTTTGGAATTGTATCAATACTCCGTATAAAATCGAAAAACATCAATTTTTAAATATTTATTTTTAACTAATACTCGTATAATATACTTATTCTGTCCCTTAAAACTTTGCCATCTTTTCTTTTTGAGACGTCCCAAAAAACTTTGCTACATTCCATTTTAATCAATTATTTTGTGATTTCTATTATTTTTTTCTCTTCTGCACAAATCTCAACCACACAATTTTTACTTTATTTTTTTCCATGCCGGTCAATTTTGACGATAAAAATAAAAAATGTCAAAATAAATGACAAATAAGGAATAGTCGACGTAGCACATGCTAAATTGATTTATCTCAAGTACTAGTTTAGCAACGCGCGATGCGCGTTTGTGTAAATGCCCAAGACCTTTGTAGGCATATTAATTGATGAGGTTAGGTTGAGTGAATATGTGAGTATAATGATAAACTATTTGTATATATAGTTTGTTAGAAATTTATAAGTAACTTGATGAATGAAATATTGTAGCCTAGATCATTATAGTAACCATAATAATAGGCTAAGATTCAATGAAAGAATTGTTGAAAGAGCAGCCATTCTTTAAAACCAATGAACAAAGAAGATAATGGCATTGAGTAGTATGAAGCTTGCTTTCATCAACCCGAGAAGAAACAGCAATTTGCAGGAGATCAGGTCTGGTTTCTGGAGAGGATATTTGAGGTAGAAAGCAAGCTTGAGCCTGAGAAAAAGTTGCAGTTAGTTAAAGAATTCGGTCTGCAGCCTAGACAAGTTGCAATTTGGTTCCAGTCTTCCAGAACTGGAGAGCCCGTTTTAAGGTCAAACTGATTGAGGACTATGATTCCCTGAAAGCTGGCTATGAGGAGAACGAAAATCTGATCATGATTTCCTCTATGAGGAGAACGAAAATCTGAAGAATGAGGTTCAGCTGCTAAAAGATAAATTGCTCATTCAGGAACAACAGTAGGGCACACAATTCGAACTAACCTATAAAACCAGCACATATAATGATGACAATGAACCTCACGTAGAGCATTGTGCTAGTTTGATCTCCCCAAAGGGAGAGACATCTCCAGTGGTGTGCAAGGATGAAAATGCAAGTTGGGTTAAAAGTGATAAACTTGATTCAGAAAGTCCACATTACACTGATGGGAAGTACTCATCATCACACATATTGGAGTCTAATTTCTCTCAGGATGAGGGTGAAAGCCTGATCAGCAACAACATGAACATTTTCATCCAATCTTGCCTGCTCCCAAGACTTGAAGAAGTAGTGTTATCCATAATAGATAATCAAATTGAAGTCAAATTATCAAAAACCTTTAATATGTTTATACTATTATTATAATATTATAAAATAGTCTTCAGAACTCAACGTGATTTGAAAGCAAATCACGTTGAGTTCTTCTGCTTTTATATCTCGAACTTAATTGATCCGATTACTACATGGATGAACGCAATCCAGAATATGAACCACAAAAGAAAATACCTATTAAACCTCTTCATGGTGGGGTTTTGGCTTTACTGAGTACTTACTACACCTTTCAAGTCATAAGGCATAGCATATGTAGCCACCATTTTACAACTCCCGCAACTTCACATCCTACTAAGTCTCTGTATGGCATAACTGAAAAAGAAATTTAAAGGAGCTTAAGGAAGCTTCTACCTGGAGCTTTAAAAAATACCTCTTTTTATTATAAATACATATTAATGACACAAAAAGGATAAGATTCATTGAAGTTCATTTACTATTGAACAAAAAGAAGACAAATATCAAAAGTATTTGAGACCAATTTTCCTAATTTTTACACTTTGAAGTTCATTAGGTTAAAGCATCCAAATATTTATATTCTTAATTTGATATTTGATTGAGCCACATGTGGGCATATCAGCTCGGTGGATTCTAAGTATGATTTTATCCGAGAAAACAAACATAGCAAAAACGACTAATGTTTTATTTTTTACCCATGCTAAGACTTTATATTGAGGGCAACATATTCTTTTTCTTAGTCACCTAAACGGAAATATTAGCTATTGTGCTTGAAGTACATAGTAAGTAATAAGAAGAAAAAATACAAGATACTTATCTATTTGACAACCACACATGTAGTAAAAACAGATCCCATAAAAAACTCTTGAGAAGTTTGCTGAAATAGATAGAAGGAAAAAATATATTTTGAGGATCACATGAATATTTGAGGCCTAAGTACCACCCCAATTAGCGAGAATGCAAAGGACACAAATTGGTGGAAAACATATATTGGAAACCTGCTGCAATTACCAAGGAGATTGATTGAACATGAACTGAAGCAACATGAAGGGCTTGAATTGACATTGTTCCAAAGTTGCAGATGATTGGAAGGACAAAAACAAGTCATTCTCCACTTGCAATAATATGTTTAGGGCAGCATGTCCAAAAGAGTACATTAACAAAGCAGTTAGACACTTCAAAAGACAAACCAGGTCATGCATTGTATGTAAACAATCCATATTGTGATATTACCAGATCTGTTTGTAACTCTAAATTGTGAGCCGCTGATGCCTCTTATAATTACTCAAGAGGTATTCATAACATTTCCAGTTAGAAATGAAAGAGATCGTAAGATAATAAGATAAGATAAAAAGAAAGATAAAAAGATAAAAAAAAGATAAGATAAAAGGGGCAAAAAGAATAGATAAAAAGATAAAAATGATAAGATAAATCATTAAAAGAGAAATTACACACCATCTGTAGCTCTGTTAATAAAAAAGCAAATACTGAAAATCAGAGACTAAAAAAGTAAATTGAAGCTCATTCCATTTAAATAAATGGTAATATAGATATGTGTAAAATCTAATGTGATGCACATTTAAGGGAACTCTTTTGACCTATTCGTTTAACCAATAGTTCTTCACATGTATAAATTGTTGAGACATAATCTGTTAACTTTCATGTGAAAGGTTATGAGCTGGAAAAAATTGGTCAAAACTAAAAGCAAAAAATGAGATAAAATTACATACCTTCTTAAGCTGTATTTATCCAAAAATCTAGTGTGGGAAACCAGAGAATTTGCACACAACTTGAAGCTCTATTTATCAAAAACCAAGTGCAATAAACCAGGAGACAAAACCTAAAAAGTATATCAAGTGTGGACACCAACGTTTTCATGTTGGTAAGACAATATGTTTTAAAAATCATTGAGATAATGTAGTTGCAACAATTCCAAGAATCAACAAATGCAGCTAATCCATTTTAACCACAGTACCTAAACAGTAATCTCATTATGTAGTTTGCAAAAAAAAACATAGAATAATCTTATCTCATCAGAAACAAGAAAAAATGCATATTAAGGACCCAGAAGTGAAATACAGCTTTCTTCTTCAAATGTTGAGTGGCTCACGAATGAATCTCTCATCTAGCGGGCCTGAGTTTTTATCCACATATTAGACTTTCTTCCCAAATTCGAGTACAAGGCCACCAGGAATGCTTAAATCAATCTTCTGTTCAATTGGGACAAACTTACCATGCTCAACCATCTCCTGAAGTGTGGCCTTCAATTCTTTCTCCTCTTCTAGAGGAAGGGGGGATTACAGATGTCACAATGGCTTTAATTTCTCCCCTGTGTACTGTGGTTAACTCTTTGAATCTTTTTACGATGCGGTCAAGATCTTTCAGCCTCCCGGTTTCAGACAAAACAAACAAGAAGTTCCTTGTGACATCTCAAAATTTAGCCAGAGCACAAATTTCCTTAATGGCAGTCACTCTAGTTTTAGAAGGCACAGACGGATCCTTCATGAACTGAGAAAATGTAGGACTTTTCTTTGCAGCTAGCAGAAAGGTCATTGAGTTCTAACTCAACTTTATCTAGCGTGTTGGACTTCACTGCTGCAAGGTACAAAGCAGAGGCATAGTTTCTGGAAACCCATACATTGTCAAGGGCACCTTAACTTTTTGTTCTTCTGAAGCAGGGGCAGTTGCATAATTCCTCAATAGCTCGGGATTGGAAAGAGTATGACAGATAAAGGACCGAAGAAGGATAGATCTTTCGGCCGAAGCGAGGGCTTTCTGGAAGGGAGGGCTTTCAGGAAGGGCAAGCTCGTTGATCCAGCACGTCCTGGGATTGCTGCCATTTCAGAACGCAACACTTTCTCTTAAACTGTATTGTGTGCTGATGAGAGGAGAATTTACGGACTCAAAAACAAGGGTTTGAGTACTAAACCCAAGGACCTTTGTTGTTTGTTGTGAATAGAATGACGGAAACTGAAATCAAGTTGCTCTCAACTCCGTTAGCAACGGAAGCTGAAATCAAGTTATAAATGTACAACAAAGTAAATATAAAGTACAATGACATTATGCATTAGGAGACACCAACATTTTTTTCATTACCATTGTACCCCTAACAATATTCCCTCTTATAATATTGTAGAGATATCCATCCATCAAAGTGATGAAACAATAACAATCGACAAGAATCTATAGCTTCACTGTCGGATCCAGCCTGGGCCCGCCACCTATAAAACTCTCTGTATATTTCTCCGACTTAAATATCACGCAACTCGCATTTTCTGATATCCAGAAGAAGCCGATGCACAGCGTAGAAAGCAGTCCCGAGCGGCCGATCGTCAACGCTCTTTTCTGATCCACAGATATCTTCGCACTTCTTGCCGCTCTCGCTTTCAGGTGATTAACCTCCCTTCCTTTCTCCTCTAATTCACGTCGTATCACGAATTGCTGTTGAAAGCTGAAACCCTAATAAGTCAAGGGGCCTTGCCCGGAAATGAAATACAATAAAAGCATACTTTTTTATTTTAATTTAGAGTTATCTGAATTATCTGAATGGCTTAAATTGGATTTAGGGTTTTGGATTCTTCTGTAACTATTTGAATACATGGTTCTTTTATAGTAGGATTGTTATCTTGTAAGCTCTTATGTGAAATCCTATCGCAATTAGGCGGTAAGGATGTCGACGCCAGCGAGGAAAAGATTGATGAGGGATTTCAAGCGGCTGCAACAAGATCCCCCGGCAGGCATCAGTGGCGCCCCCTGCGACAACAACATTATGCAATGGAACGCTGTTATCTTTGGGTATCACCTCAGAACTTGATTGTATTTTCTGTTTATGTAACTGGGTATCTCTGAAATCTGTGTTTGACTCGGAGATTTAATACAAAAAGGTCTCTCTTTTTTGGTCTTTGATTGCAGTCCTGATGACACTCCCTGGGATGGAGGTAAGGCCTTAAATGCTTTAAGGATTTTTTTTTGTTTGGCTTGCTTGGAATTTTGGACGTTTCCCTATGTCATTAATTATAAGTTTATAGCATGTGCATTCAACTATAACATAGTATGTGACTACAAAAATGACCTCAAACCTTCTTATGTAGTACAATGGAAAACTTTCACCCTTTTTTTTTGCAACAGCCGCTGAAACAATGCAAGTTATTACACATTGACAACACATAAACTCATAAATCTTTATGCAGTTACATTGCATAATTCGTTTTATTATTTTAAAAGAAATTGTTGAAGTTGCATAAGCTGAAATCTCTACTAAGAGGCATCAGAGTTCAATATCTCCATTCCAGGATCTTTTATATTTTGTGAGAATCAAAGGTTATAATTGCAAACTAGTATGTAGTATAAATATACATCAGTCGCACTGGAATTTGGTATTATATATGTGGGGGTGTCTCTGTGTGTATTTTATGTGTGCATATATTAAACAAAAAACAAATGGTATTCACCGGACGTATGTCCAAGCAACCATACTTTACTAATATTGTCTCAAAGTTCAAAGTTTTAATTATCATATGCTCTCTCCGTTTCTACATGAAAGTCACACTTTCCTGTTTTGGACTTTTCAAAACAAAGTCACCCTTCCTTATTTGGTAAACAAATCTATATCAAAACAGTGTAAAATAGTGCCAAACAGTGTCAAAACAATGTACTACACAGTAAACTTTACCCCTCAATAAATTTATTTCCTTAAATTTGACTTTCTTTTAGAAACAGATGGAGTATGAACTAATTTGCTGGACGAAGTTCCACATTAATTTGAATAGGACTCTGACTGTCACTTCAATTTTTTGCGTTTTTTGTTCTTCTGCGCTCTCTTCCTCTCTTGTCTATGCACCATCCTGATTTTTGTCCTATTTATATCAGGTCTGACTGAATTTAAAGTTAACCTTATAATAGTATTGAAATGATCAAATTAGTATTTATGATTAAAACCCACATATTTAAAAACTAGGCTCAAAGTTCTATCAAATGGCAATAAATTGAATGCAGAAGAGTTTGATATAAATAAGAGAATAAAAAAGAATCATGTTGACCACGTGAAAACTGAAATGGCAAAAGAACTGGGGATGGAGGGATTTTTTGTTATTTTTGGTTCTATGTCATTATGGCAGGAGTTAAACATTGAATTTGGAATTGGGCTTCCAAATTGTTGTTAGGACTTGTTCTGGCATGTTGGGAACTTCCCCAATCCCGATTAACTTACGTTGAACACTTGAACCAATCAGTTGGTGTGAGGAAATCCATTTACTTCTAGCCAACCAGAGAGAATGTGAATTATACAAATATCCTTACTACCTCAAATCCAATGGAGTCGTAATGACACTGTTATATCAAATTTTGAGGCTTTGTTGATTTATTGACAAAGCATTTTTTAGTTTGTGCGTGTAATTATTTTCTTATTTCTTTATAAGATACACTTTTCTTTTTGAGTTGTCCCAAAAATATCAACACTTTACTAATTTGAATTCCACTAACTCTCTACTTTCCCACTTTATCCCTTTATCTATCATTTCACTCTTTACTTTTTGTGGACACATCTTACTCTTTCTTTTTTTGGAGGTTAGAATTGTAAAACAACCCGTTTATCCTTTATTTTCTTAAAACCCAAACCAAACTCACATGTATCTTCCATTATGGGATGGGGAGGTAGTACGTTCAAAGAATGATTGATCTCATTTTATCATATTTCTATGGAGAATTGATCTCATTTTATCTTCTTTATCTTTGTATCTTTTTTATCTCAACTTTTTTTTATTCTTCTCTTATCTTCATCTTCATCTTCATCTTATTTTTTTATCTGTCTTATCTGATCTTTTACTACCTCCGCCCCCTAATATTGGGACAGAAGAGAGTGATGTGGTTTTTAGGAAAAGTAGAATTGTGTGGTTGATAATGAGTTGATAAAGTGGGAATAAAGTAAGAATGAATTAGAACCGAATTAGAACCACACACAAATGTTACCAAATATGGTATGGGACAGTAATAGGGGGACATCCAAAAATGAAAAAAATGGGACAATTATAGATGGACAAAAGGAGTATCTTTTTAATCCGATTTCATATGTCGATTCATGTTTCATGACCCAAACTGTTGTGTGACTAAGGTATGGATGTTGCTGTTTGTTTGATATATTCAACACAATTGATTATATACGCATCCAGCTTGTCTGCAATTCACTTTACAATATTTTTAACTGAGGTTATCTGTCCAAGAAACATGTATTGTTATTTCCATTGCTTCATATTGTTACGATTTACAAATACGTGTCTGCTTTGATGTTTGTTTTACTGATTGGTTATAATTTGAAATGTGATGCCTTCTCTAATATTGTTTTTGCTATTTCTAGGCACATTTAAGTTGTCACTTCAGTTCTCAGAGGATTATCCAAACAAGCCTCCAACAGTGCGGTTTATCTCCCGAATGTTCCATCCTAACAGTAAGTAGCCTTATTCTTTGTGGTTTTGCACAATTGTATTACTCAGAAAGGAGTAGCATTTAAAGTTGAGCTGTCTGAATTTTTCCTGGTGAGCCAGTGACATTGATTCTTAGCCAGCATTTATCTTTATGAGCTTGGTACGAGTCTTGGGCTTCATTTTGAGGCAATCATAGTGTCCTAATGATATCGTCATTATCATCTTACTGCACATCGGACAATTGTCCCTTTATGACATTCATGCCTCATAATTTTAAACAAATGCTACAATTTCATCCCAGAAAACAATATATTTACCAAAATTATACCAGCCAGCAGGGTTCATGTAAGTAACTCATGAGTTTGAGGATAACCAAATCATAAGTGTCCAATGAGAGATTGTGTCATATACCCATGAGTTAATCAGACGGTTGTTTTATGCCTTCCCTTTTCTCCATATCTGTTGGTCTACATACATGGCTTACTAATCCCATCTTAGTAAGTTGATTTTTGTTAGATTTATTGTGACCCAATAACGGTTTATAAGTATCTCATGATTTGTTTCTGAGGTTATGAGCAATGCATTATCATTCTGTGATTCATTGTAACATAATATATTAATATGATATCCCCTGTATAAACGCTGGGCCTAAGCCCAATGTGTTAAACATTGTCGTTTCCAAACCTAGGGGCTGGGCTATTCTAATTATTTCTACATTTTGATAGCTAGGCATTCTAATTATTTCTACATTTTGTCGCTTCATCGGGCTAGGATATATGAAAATATGCTCCAAGATTGATCCAACTATTAGCATGAGGCTTGATATCAACCACTACCATGCTTAAACACTACAAGGATTAAATTTTAAACTCCACTTGAACTTGACCCGAACAGCTATTAGACCTAGAACATGAACTTTACTGTAGCTTAACTTATTAACTCTTATGTGAACTTGACTTCCTGTGACCACAATAGGCATCTTCAACTTGAACTTTTACTCCACTTTATCTCACTGTATAACTTTGATATTTTTCTTCTCCCTTTCCCCATTTAAAAAATGTACTCTCTTATTTTCCTATTTTTGAAACAGTAGACTTACGACTCATAAGTCAGTGTTGCCAACATTTATGAACTAAGTTAACAAAGGTATTGGGGAAAGAGGCCAGAAACAGCCCCATGCACATTTGCACAGGCCATGGAAGCATGTGCCCATGAATTTTGCTTAAACACTTCAAAGATTAAATCCAAACGTCACTTGTACCTGACTCGAACAGCTTAACTTATTAACTCTGATGTGAACTTGACTTCTTGTGCCTTCAATAGGCATCCTCAATTTGAACTTTCACTCCACTTTATCTCACCGTATAACTTTGATATTTTCCTTCCCTTTCCCCCATTTAAAAACTTTTCTTCCCTATTTTTGAAACAGTAGACTTTAGACTCAAAAAGCAGTGTTGCCAACATTTATGAACTAAGTTAAAAAGGTATTAGGGATTAATTCCAGAAACAGCCTCATGCACAGACTATGAAAGCGTGTAACCATGACTTGTTAGAAAGGAGGTAGCACTTGAGGGTATATCCCATACAATCTGGCAGTCGGCTTCTTACTGAGTGGAGACTGGAGACGGAGAAGGTTCAAATGAAGTGACTGGTAGTATTTGTTTTTTGATACAAGGGGCTCAGATTTTTTATAGTATCTTATTGTTGAATTATTTTATGGTTAGGTTTTGATACCATGTAAAGTAATTCGGCTCCCCTTCGTATAAAACTCAACTTTCACAATTTGATCGGTGTTTGGCTCCCTTTTGCTTTGATATAAAACTCAACCAACAATTTGGTCGGTTTTGAAGACTTTAGATGCTTCAGATTATCATAATTGGCCATGACTGGTCTACAATAACAGGGTTTAAAACTATGATGACTATATCTCTACAATAATTGGCTCCGATATCATGTATCAATTCGTGTTAGATGATCTCAAAACCTTTTGGGGCTAAGGTTTGGGTGTTGTATTGTACCAACAATGAACATTTTTGGGAAAACAGTGATGTCTCTCAAAGACTCACTATTTTTTTGGCTTGGTAATATGATGGAATAAAGCAAAATGGCTTACTAAACTGTCTGCGCTTATTTTTTATGAAGCAGTAGTCAGTCCATGTAATTTTCGACGTGATTTTGACTATGAGTAGGGCCCACCCCACCGTAGGTGGGAGCCTTTGTGGCAGTGGGGTAATGGTGATGATGATGACTGATGTCTCTCAAGTCCCAAATATGCTTCTTCCCTTGGTTATTTGCTATTATTATGCAAGATGTTCTATTAGTGTCCTTATATTTGCATTTCACATGCTTAGTGAGATATTCTGTTATGCTGGGTTGCACCTTGATGCTTTGTTACTTGATTTGTAATTTTTTTGTCAGTTTATGCTGATGGAAGCATTTGTTTGGATATCCTACAAAATCAATGGAGTCCGATATATGATGTAGCTGCTATACTTACATCAATCCAGGTATGTGTTATGAATGTTTAATATCTGATATCATACTGATAGGAACCTGGGCCTAATAGACTAATACTAATAATAAGGGACCAGGCCTATTAGAGTATTAATAATAATAAGTGAATTAGTTGAGTATAAATAGAAGAGGGCTAGGAAGGGTTGAGGAGGCTGTTTTGACTGTTTAGACTTGACTGGGAAGATTGAGAATTATTTCTCTCTCTTTGGGGGCTTCGGCTCATCTGGGGGCTTCGGCCATTGATTTCCTACTCTCTTTCTGTAATCTGTAATCGATCAACTCCAACAATATAGATATTCAACTGTTTTCTGGTTATTCTTTCTATAATTCTTCAGAAACCCTAGATAGTCCTATCATATACCTACCTTATAGACTTAATAATTATATAATGTAATCTTAAGTGAAGTTGTTTGTTTTACCAATATTTCAGAGAGTGCATCTCTAGCTTTTCGAAGAGATCCATGCTTTATCCTTCTATTCAGAAACTCTTAATTTTTTTTATTCTGTCCAATTTATGATGGGAACTATTGATGGGATGAATGCATTGTCTCTGATGGAGTGAATAACGAAATAGTAAGACATTAGAAAGCTGTTTTAGTTGCTGGTAAGCAGAACAAAATAAACAAATAACAAACAATTGCTACTGTTCCCAAGCAAACCTTCCAGTAATATAACATGCTCAGATAGCCAGGCTATCTCTAACCTACATCTTCCTCTATTTCCTGTGTATGAGGTTTTATTTGTAGTCTTGAAATACAAAGTAATGGCACGTAATAAATAAAAAATATATAAACAATTAGTAATATCCTTGAAATAATTCACATATATATATGAGATCCGAGATCTTCAACTTACTCCCTAAATTCTGTGGTTAGCTTTCCTTGTTTGATTCTATTGCCGCTCTCCAACAATGAGTCTTCACCAAACAGATGGTTGTAATAAATTTGATAATTGATGAGCGGGAGAAAACTGTTCGTAGCCTCCAAGATCTCCAGCATGTTCAGATGTTCATGACTGTGTCATAATAATCTTTTGCCACAACAAGGAATGACTAGGATTCGGTGTGGCAGGTGTGCATGGGGCTGTGGGGTTCCTGGCTACAGAAGCAAGACCTTTAGCTCACATATTTGCTTGTAGTGCAAAAATTGATGCGTCCCTTGATCAATTTGCCACGGTGGATCAATAATTGTTGAAGAAGGCAAAAGCCATTCTTAGGGCTGAGATGACGCACTGCTGCTGGATTTATGACCTGTCTTGGATTTGTCCTGGTCTAGTTCATGAGCCAGTCCTAAACCAGTGGTCTATTCTTATTTCCTCCATCAGTTTTCTCTTTCCCCAGGGGTTGGATACCCGGAACCTGACCTATTCAGCCCTTCTGGCAGGCCAAAAAAATGCACGGATTTCCCAGACTGAAAAAACCAAATCTATCTAAAATGCGAAGTGTAATTATATTATATATGTATAATTATATATATCCCAAATTCCCAATTCGTTAGTGAAAATTATACTCCGTATTATATATGTGCTTCTCAATTTCCCAAATTTTCAATGTTTTGAAGTTTTGGCAAGGAAAAAATGCAAAAGATAAAGCAAAACAATTTTGACCTGAAACTATCTAGATACTACATTGGCAGTGCAAGCTAATTTAGACTAGCCACTAGCGAGCTACTATTTTTTTGCAGCCATTTCAATCTTGTAGACCTCATAACCTTGAGGTCATGGGCTCACGGGGTCAAATCAATCATGCCTTTACAACAATCGAAAGGTTAAATAAAATACTACATACAATGTATTTAGAAGGATAAAGTAATAAATGAAAAAAAGTAAGTGGAGTTCAAACTGGAAAAACTTTTAGTTTTTTGGGTCGTATAAGAGGAAAGTGTACTCTATTTACACGGGATATCAATCAAGGTAAATCAGATCCCTGAAATTTTGCTTAAATATATATCCATAACCCATGTTATTGAGATCCTTATTAGCTTGTGTGTAAACTGCACAAGTTAGAAAAAGAGGATGAACTTTCTTAGGGAGTAGGTTAGTATTATTAGTGTCTTTAAGCCCAGAACTGAATAAGAAGAGTGCTTTAGAAAAAAGTTAATTCGGCAATTTATGATATGAAGTGATATGGGTTTATGTATAGGTTCAGTGTAGACGTGATACGACAGCAATTTTTTTTCAAAGCTAGGTGTTGTGGCTCGATTTGCTCCTGTAACTCTTAAGTTGTTCAGTGCTTTATAACTGTACCTTTTCTGGACATTTCTTTTACCAAACTTATGGAGTAAAAAGCATTGTGGCTTTACGTCCACAGCAATACCAAAGTGGGATTTAGTGTATCATGGTTGAAGTTGGACATGATTGAATGTTGGTAGGAATCATCACAGGTAAATGGCTGATTTTTGTCATGTATTTATCATTGCAGTCACTGCTGTGTGATCCAAACCCGAACTCCCCAGCCAATTCTGAAGCAGCGAGGATGTTCAGTGAGACCAAACGTGAGTACAACAGGAAAGTGCGTGAGATTGTTGAGCAGAGCTGGACTGCCGATTAACAAAATGTGCTTTATGCTGCTGGCTGCGTCTTCATGGCGGTGCTTTGTTGCTACATACAATGATACAATGCTCTTGCCATTGAATGTTGTTTTTCTTTTTTTCCTTTAAGGTATTGTAGTGACTTCATTATATGTGTTGGTTGGTACTTTGCGAGACTTTTGTACATATACTTTCATGTATCCCTCACCCACCCATTATCTGGAATTTGTACTTCTAAATGTTTTGTTCCCAAATAGTTGTTATTGTTAACATCTGAACTAAGTTCATTTATAATGACTTGTTTTGCAACCACCACTTTGCCATGTAATGGAAATTGTATGAATCATGCACTTCAAATCTTTATTTGCCAGTTGATGGTTATTTCTTAGAGGGCAGCTGACAGGAATCAGGTTTACAAGTACAGGGCTGGCCTTGATATGCAATAATCAGAGGTAGTGCTGGACTCGGGCCTGGTCGGGTCAGGGCCTAGGCCCGGGCCGGCAGCCGGTTCTGAATAGTTGGACCCGGGACCGGCCCGGGTAGCTACCGGGTCGGGGCCGGGCCTCGGGTTTGGTTTTTTTCCTAAGTATCCCTGACCCCCCCCTCACCCCCACCCCCAGACCCCCCCAAACTAGGGCTGGACTCGGTTCGGGCCGGGCCCGGTTCGGGCCTTGAACCGGCCGGGCCTCGGTTCACCAATAGGAGGGCCCGGGCCCGAACCGGCGGTGACCGGTTCCGGGCCGGTTCCGGGCCCGACCAGGCCGGTTCCGGGCCGGTTCACCCGCCCCTTTTTTTTTTAAAAAAATTTTTGGCTTCTCTTATTTAACCCTCTACCCCTCCCCCTCAACCCCAAACCACCTCAAATGGCCCAAAATAACTAATCCAACCCAAAACTTAAAAAAATTTCAAAAAAAAAATAAAAAAAAATTATTCCGGCCCGGACCGGGCCCGAACCGGCCGGGCCGGTTCACCAAATGGAGGGCCCGGGCCCGGAACCGGTATCCACCGGGCCGGTTCGACCCGAACCGCCGGTGGACCGGGCCACCGGGCCGGGCCGGTTCACATAGTAACCGGGCCGGGCCGGTTCCGGTTCGGGCCGCCCGGCCCGAGTCCAGCCCTACCCCAAACCCCTCCTAAACATCAAGCCCAACACGGGTGGACCGGTGGAACCCAAAAAAATGAAAAAACAAAAAAAAATTCAATTTGGCCTGAACTAGGGGTGGACTTGGGCCGGGCCTAGGCCCGGTCGGGCCTCCGGTTCAGGAATGGGGGCCCCGCAATCGGCCCGGGTAACCCCTGATTTCGAGTCGGGCCGGGCCTTAGCTATTTTTATTCTTTTCCTAGTTAACCCCCAACCCTCCCCCTCACCCCCAAACCACCCCAAATGATCCAAAATACCAAGCCCAACCCGAAAAGTAAAAAAAAATTAAAAAAAAATTAAAAAGGCCCGGAACCGGGCTCAAATCGGCCGGGCTGGTTCATGATTTGGGAGGTCCGAGCCTGGATTGGACCCCCAGCGGGTCGTGCCTACCCGGACCGGTCACTGACCGGGCCGGAACAGTGCCGGTTCGGGTCTGGCCACCTGGCCCGAGTCCAGCCTGGCCTGAACCAGGCCCGAGCCTGGCCGGGCCGGGTCACCTTTTGTAAGAACCGAGCCCGCCCCCCGCTACACCCCCGGTTTGGGTATCCACCCGGACCCGGACCGGCAGACCGGGCCAGTCCTGGGCCCTCACAGTAGCGGGTGGATGACGTGATTTTATTGAAATTCTGAATTCGATTGCTTTATTGCCTGAACATATTATAATAAATATTAATCGTAGTGTACAACTGTACATAATTTATATGATGTGTGGATATTGAAAACTAAATAAAATAAATGTTTAACTTTGGTTATATACTTGTATGGAACTGAGTGCTGGACTCGGGCCGGGCGGCCCGGCCCGGAACCGGCCCGGCCCGGTTACTGTTTGGCCCGGCCCGGCCCGGGGCCCGGTGGGCCCCTCGGTTCGGTTCGGCCCGGCCCGGCTGCTGGGCGGTTTGGTCCCGGGCCCAGGTTTTGGTGAACCGGCCCGGCCGGTTCGGGCCCGGTCCGGGCCGGATTTTATTTTTTTTTTTTGAATTTTTTTTAATTTTTAGGTTGGATTAGGTATTTTGGGCCATTTGAGGTGGTTTGGGATGGTTTGGGGTTGAGGGGGAGGGGTAGGGGATTAAATAGGAGAACAAAAAAAATTAAGTGGGTCGGTTCGGTCCGGCCCGGTTTGGCCCGGAACCGGGACCGGAACCGGCCACCGGCGGTTCGGGCTCGGGCGTCCCTTTCCTGGCCCGAGGCCCGGCCGGGCCCAGGCCCGAACCGGGCCCGAACCGGCCCGAGTCCAGCAACTACTGATAATATTTCAAATTTTCAAAATGAACTGGTAATTTAGAAATGCTTTTTAAGATCTCGCACACGAGTCACATTTTTATTTCACAAACGTATTATCATGTCCGTAGTTTTTAAGAAATGTTTGTGGGTCACTAGTATTAAATAGTTGGTGCAAATGTAGTAATTACGATGAGTACAGGTTGTACAATTTTAGTGTTTGGGCATCTTTCCTACCGGAGTATAATTTTAAGAAATGACTCCAAAGAATAGACTACTACTACGTATTAAAGTTTACCAATTTAAATTTCCTATTTAAATAGCACTAGTATTCCACGGCAAATTATGCCGTACGACCGGCATACCATGAGCATGATATGCCTGGTCCAAATACGGTACGGTTTTATCAACTAAATACAAGAATAACTCGTCAAAAAAAAAAACAGACCCATGAGGTCATGATGCGCCGCACCAGTGCAGCACCGACTAGAGCCACCGACGGGAGCACTTCAATTTGCAGAAACTCTTTGATCTTTTCTCTTGCTGAGCACCGACTTATATTCCTTCATGTTTCTTGTCGGCATAGCTTATCCTCAAACGTTTTTCCAAATTGAAAAGCAAATTCAAACTAACAGATATCTTGTGCTTTGATTGGACATCTAAAGTGCTTAATAATCAAATTCAATTAATATTAATTTTCTCTATTCTATTGATGTCAATGGATGGAAATAATTGGTGTGTGTATATGTATGTATGTATGTATGTATGTATGTATGTATGTATGTATGTATGTATGTATGTATGTATGTATGTATGTATGTATGTATGTATGTATGTATGTATGTATGTATGTATGTATGTATGTATGTATGTATGTATGTATGTATGTATGTATGTATGTATGTATGTATGTATGTATGTGTGTGTTTAATATTTGAAGTTCCATCTTTTATACGCGAGTTACATCTTCTGAAGCGCAAGTTACATATTCTGAAGCGCGAGTTACATATTCTGAAGCGCGAGTTACATCTTCTGAAACACGAGTTACATCTTTGCGCGAGTTGTATCTTGCTTACCCTGATTTACATTTTTCATAATGTGAGTTACACCACAATGAATTACATTTGAATACACAGTATTTACATTTAATAATAGCGCGAGTTACATACCAAAACAAAGGATTTACATCAAAAAACAAATTGAGACAAATGCAAAAGTATTGTTCACGCCAATTTTACCCCTGAGAGTACGGTGCTCACCATACACGGGTTGCACGGTATACGGACTGGTATTCCACCCGTGCGTTGCACGGAGTAAAATTTATTTAAGAAAATATTAGTACGGAGTAGTATATTGTCTCTCTCTATATAATAATAATATTTAAAGAAATAAATAATTTTATTAGTAACGTAGTGTAGTGTTTATGAAATTACACAAGAGTAACGATGTATTCATGTAACTTTGCTAATGGTGTTACGTACACCAAAGAGTAACGATGTATAGTTGCCTAAGTCACTAATTAAATACACTATAGTTTCCCAATAAAGTAATTATCTAGCTAACAGATCAAAATTTAACTAATTAAGGATGTTTTTACTTAGACTGTAATTTGCTGGTCTGATCTGGTCTGAGACAAAATACAGTCCAAGTAAAACATCCTAAGAGCAAAAAATAATACATTTTCTCAAATAATGTAGCATTATTTTCTTCCAAAAATAAGGCTCAACTGGCTCATACATTACTAGTTTGGAAAGTTGTTATCGTTTGGTTTTTCAATAAGATAAAGAAATTAGTATTTTAAGAATAAAACATATTTAATACTTTATTGGACTTTATTCATGTTTTATTCTTGTTTTGAGCAGTTTCTTTAATTTATCTTTTTTGATCAGTTCCTCATTTATTAGCTCAATTATTTATGTATACCAATCCATTCCAGAATGCAAATTAATAAAAGGAAAAGGAATTTCATCCAACTATTATCGAGTCTTTATGATGCTTGTACTTTAAAGAATGACTTTAATAAAGAAGTGCATGATAGTAAAAGTTAATAGTGTTTGAAAAATCGATTTCCAAAAAGTAAAAATTTGTAGTGCTGGCCAAAAATATATTTTATTTCTATGATAAAATAAATGAAAACAGTTCAAAGCACTCCTCCACATACTCCACATGCTTCCCGTCTTTTTATTTTTAGTGTTTTATTTCATCAAAAGTTATTACTTCAAAACCTAATTTCATAGATGAAAACACTAATTATTACTTCGAGCTGAAAACACTTTTCTTTAGTTTTTACAAACACTGCCTTAGTAAGTAAAACTTTTTATTTTATATGTATATATGTCAAGTAAACTTTTTATTCCAAAACGAATATACAATTCATTTCCATTGGACTTTGTCAACCCTTTTTATTGTTCCAAAAATTTCACCATTTTTTAAACGTAATCAGTGTGTACTTCTAGCTTTTTTATCTCCTTAATTATTTGCACAAATTTAATCTGGTGGATTATTTATATTTTTATTTTGCTTATAGGTCAATCTTATTGAACTCTACCTAGACGGAATATCAAAATTTGAACCCTAAAGGCTAAAACCTTCAAAGATGTGAAACAAATGTTGTGCACTAATAAAAAAGATACTTAAAAGCAACTTAACTCAGCCTGTTTTATGAACACCCAAATCATTGATCTCACAAATACTTTCATTTTTATCGGAGTATATAACACCAAATGTAAGTTGAGTTAGTTTTCAAACCCACCTTCTCGATCGTCCTCCATGTCCCCCCCCCCCCCCCCCCTCCTACATACCCATATAACTTTTCTTTTTTGTTCTTTATTGTTTATTTCCACTTTGCAACTCATCAACCCTATATATTAAATTTATCTACGAATTTCCTTCATCGCATACCTTTCTGTCACAAATAAAATAGGTTATTAGATACTGCAATGTGAAGTGTGAACAATTCACTGGAGTTGCACAGTTTTTATGAAATCAGTTGTGATATGATGTTATATTTGTAC